CTGATTATTCCCAGACGAATGGTAGTCCATTAGTGTGGAACTCAGACGAATATATACGACAAATAAAGAACATGCCGCAAATACAAGATCTTGCGTCTAATCCTATTCTATTAAAAATTACTTTAAATGTTTTACCAAACATTATCAAAGAAAAAGAAACCTCTCAGATAAATCGTATAGTTTTGTATGATGAATTTATTAAGAAATGGTTTGAACGTGCTCAATATCGCCTGTTAAACATTCAATTAAAGCCTAGAGAACGAGAGGAGTTTGACCGCTTGAACGAGGGAGACTTTTCTAAACATTGTCTACGATTTGGTAAAAAATTTGCAGCCAAGATGTTTGAGGACAATAACAGAGTGGTTGTAAATTATGAGGAGGTGGATGAGGATGAGGATGAGGAGGACACATCCGATTGGGCGAAATTTTTAGGAAATGCAAATGAGAAGCGTCGTTTGATGCGCTTCAGCATGCCATTAATTCGACGTGGAGATCAATATTGGTTTTTCCATAAATCATTGCGAGATTACTTGATTGCTTGTGAGTTGATAGATTCATCTAAAAATACGTCAGAAACAACACTCTTCAACAAACAGTCGATTATGCCAGAACCTGCAATTCAAGAATTTTTGGAAAGCCCACTGGTTTTGGAAAATAAACTGTCGATGAAAAATAAATTAGACTTAATAAATCAAATAACTAAAGAAGATGTGATAACTTTGAAAGATGCTTCAAAAGAAAAAAATAAAAAACTTTTTGAAACAACTGCTGATAGACTTTTAAATTTAAAAGCTAAAAAAGTTTTGGAGACAGCAGTAAATCACCTTCTAACCCAGAAGCGTAAAAGAGTATTGTTGATATTAGGTAACGGAGGAACGGGTAAATCGACGTTTAACCGTCACCTTGCTCGTAGTCTATGGGATGAATTTGACCAACAAAACATGAAGCAACCACTTATTCCTTTATTTATCGCACTAGCACCACTAGAAGGGCTGATAAATCAACATCAGGATTTTATTGAAGCTTATTTACGGAAAGAAGGCAAACTATCCACAGATCAAATTGATAGCTTACGGAAAAGGAAGTTTGTATTTATTTTAGATGGTTATGATGAGATTGCTGAACGGGAACGTAATTGCTATAACTGCAATATGTTCTCTAAATGAGTGGGCTTCGAATTTTCTCAGCAATTTCAGAGGCCGACTTTACATCAGTATTCTTGAGAAGAATTGTAAACTCATCTCCACCATATCGTGCAAAAATGTCTTCAGCACGAGCATGAGAATTTTGAATCAGCTTAGCTAATTCTTTTAAAGCGTAGTCACCAGCTTCATGGTTATTTCCATCATTAATACTTTTGAAATTATCCAAATCAAAAAATAGCAAACTCATATTTTGCTCATTTTCTCTTGCGTTCAAGAATTCATTTGCCAAGCTTTTCTCCAAATAAGCCCTATTATAAATCGGTAAAAGTTTATCAATGCGGCTCTCATATTCTCCAGTAGGAAGGTATTGAAAAATACTGCGTCCCATTTTAATCATGTCATCTCTTTTTAAAGTACGGAAATCGTGAAATAAAAGTTTTTCACCATTAATGAAAATTCCTGACCCCGAACTTAAGTTGGTGATGATAACTTTTCCATGGGAATTTTTAATCTTGCATGTATTTTAGCAATTTCTTGATCTTTTATAATGATGTGATTTGAATTCCTCCTTCCTATAAATGTTTCATCTGGACGAATGAAAAAGTATTGATTCTGAGGTGAGCCCTTAATCACCATTAAGCAAGGTTCTTTTTTTGATATGGAAGTATCATTTCTCCCTAAACAAATTTTTGGAATATAATCATCATCTCGATATACACAATCTAGCTCAATATCTTTGAGGAGATTAATGACCTCTTCAATTGATGGACGCTTTTTGGAATCATTATTCCATGCATCACAATAAAGCTCTTTGTAGTCTACAGGTGTTAAATTGACGGGAGTTTCCCTCGTCCCATTTAAGAGAGTTGATTGTAGGTGTTCAGATCTATTATTAAAAGGGATTTGGCCACTTGATATTTCCCATAATATCACCCCAAGACTATATATATCCGAGGATTTATCATATTTTTGATGAAGTGTAGGATTAAACCATTTCGGATCCACATAAGCAACATTTTCATCAGTAATTTTTATAGTAGGTTCTATTTCGCTATCATGGTCAAGTGACATGGATGAACTAAAACCAATTATTATCAATTTATCATCGTTATTCATTATGTTTTTTGAGTTCTATTATGTAAATAGATAAAATAAACAAGTTAATAAAAATGTTAGGATACTCTTGGCAGTCAAACGGTGAATCGGATTTAGTCTTTTATAAGTATAACAGTCTTATTGGATAACTAAATCCCATCTCAATCGAATTAAAAAACAATATGCTAACCAAATCACAATGTATAATATTCTCTGCATGGATATACTTCAAACCATTGGCAATATCTTTGGCCATTTTTAATTTGTAATCCCAGTCTTGTTTTGAGACCTCTTTCAAATGCTCTCTAAGGGGTTTATTATAATATTGAAGTACCATGGAGTGAAAATCCTTTAAAGGATCTAAAATAACGAAACGTAAAGATTATATGGCTATAATAAATTACCGGATAACCGGATAATTTAATAATACCCAGGTACGTAGAAATTTTTTTGACAGGTACAATCTCTAATAATACCTTTAGTAACGCCATAAAATTTGATTACGTTTTCACAATCCTTACAATCGTTAATGTTTTTTATCTGTTTATTTGTAAATTTCAGTATGATACTTGAAACAACGTTATAGCATGACAACAACACACCTCTCTGATGATTTTTTTGTAATATTCATCTTTACACTGTTCTTTCAAAAATTTGAGGACTACATGACGATGATTTCTCCTCCAATATGAATGCTCAATTAAGCTTGACCCATCCGAAATTTCCTTTATATCTTCAAATTCTCCATAATCTAATTCTTTAAACAATCTTGCTTTAATTAATGACAAAAATTCTTCCATTTAGAACTTGCACGTATGCACGTATTTAGTCACGTTCCTTTACTCTGGAACTTTTTAAAAAAGGTGCATGCAAACCTAGAATGCTACGCATGACATTAGAATATATACATAAAAGGATAAATTTCTTCGCACTAATACAGTATATCTCTAGCATTTGTATCACGCAGCAGTGTTGTACCTAAAGCCTTTTTTGTTGCTCAAACTTAAATATTTTAAGTTTTATCTGAGACAGGACAAGTGAGTTTTTGAGCTAATGTTATAAAAAAAAAATAGCTACGTACGTACGTTAAACAATCTAGACCAACATATAAAAATTTTCTAAACCAGGTTGAAATTTAATTTTTATATAGGACGATTTTAACTTTCACCAGAGGTGAAATTCACCGGATATGTTGTTTCTCAAAAACGGCTTTGATAATTAGCATTTGGTGGTATACTAATTAAAAATGTTTGGCACCAGTGATTATTTTTCGCTGTGCGGACTGTGCGCAGCACACAGAAGCAAAATGTTGTGCACATTTTCTTTTGACAGATGTGCGGATGCCGCACATAAAAAATTACCATTTGGTTAGTACGCACACTTATAAACAGTTGCTCATAGTTTTTCTTTGACGCACAGAAAAGGTTCTAAATTGTGCGGTATCCGCACAGTAAATTTTAACTGAAAAATTAACATCGTTTAGCACTCCCCCATACAGACTGATTAGGTTACTCATACCATACTAATATTCGTATTACCTAAAACATATCATGTTCAGTGAATACTATATATATATTTTTTTAAGATGCGAGATCTTGCCTCAATTTTCTTTATTGATTTCTTACATAAACTATTTATAGAAATTTAAGACTTGAGCTAGTTTATCCATGATCCAAACTTTGCCAAGAGGGGCCGAAGTCTTGCTTAATTATTGATTTGTGCGATGTAGTTGGGTGACATGCTATGGTAAGCAAAAATGTTTGCCTATTTGTTTTAGCTTGGGTTTTGTATTTCTGGCAGTTGAGTCTGGGTAATATTTAGGTTATAGATATATAACTTAAGAGTTGTGACTAGTTTATATAAAAACAGATTTATTTTAAAAGTTTTTAATTTAAAATATTGAAAAGTAAATCTGGCGATAGATTTGTTATTTTTTTTAATAATTAAAGCTAGCCTCTTTGGTTTATTACCTATATTAGGTGCTCAAGAAGTTACTGATGCTTCTAGAGCTCTGAATTATAACAATATAATAATTATAAATATATTAAAAACTAGTTTGATACATATTAGAGAAGTATTAAAAGTTGGTTATAATTTTTTTATTAGTTATTAGCATTTTAAAATAGATTTAAATATTTATTGAATATTCTATAGAATAGGTGAGCAATATAAGAAATAAGCTTCACTAATAATTAGTTTTTTAATTGCAAAGTTGCAGAGTTTGCAGAGTTTGCCCACCCATTCTATAGAACATCCTATTTATTTTTTTGAATTTATCATTTTTGGTTTTTTATTAACTTGTAGTATACAGGATCCTTTTTAATAAAATTTGAATTTGTCAGAATTTTGTTTGTGATAAAATCATAGGTTTAAATTTAAAGTTATTAAGATTTTATAATAAAGGCTTCTGTCAGTATTAATTTAATCATAGCTATAATTATTATTATACATATTAGTCTTTTTATTTATAACAATTTAGTTAAAGTTAAGAATTTTAATTAGTTAATAAAATTTTTTTGATATTATAGAATGATTACAAAAATTGGTTAATTATAATAAAAGTCTACTATATTTCTCTAATATATACTGCAATTTTTGTAATGATTCTGAAAATATTATATTTTATAGGCTAAACCACCCTTCTGTCAGATTATACAGATATTTTTATAATGCATATCACTATAAAGCAATTGCAATTGTTAAGCTAATAATTAGTTTTTAAGCTAACAAACATTAAATATCAAATTTTTATTTGAATTTTAACAAATGTTAAATATTGAATATTTATTAAATTTTTGTTATATTATGTTAATAATTAACTTTCAAGCTAATAAATATTAAATATTAACAATTATCAAGTTCTTATTTAAATATTTTTTATTTATATTAAGTTAATAATTGGCTTTCAAGCTAACAAGCATTTTTATTTAAATTTTTTATTTTGTTTTTTTACTATATAATTTTTTTAATTTTATTATATTGCAATTATATATATTCATAAAGACAATAAATTTCTTTTGCAATTATAAAAAATTATAAAACAAAAAGAATTTTTTTTGGAAATAAAAGTTTGTAAATATTCAAAAACAAAACAGCAGTATTTTTATAATTGTAATTATTTTTAATATATATTAAGAATTTTATAATTTAGTATAGGTGTGTTGTAATATATCTATAAGATTTGGTTTAATGTGAAATCAAAACAAATCAGCAATGCATTAATTTATAATAAAGATTAGCACTAATGTAAGGTTAAATTAGATTGTAAATAAATGTTAGTTATATCTAAAAATTGCAATGAATTTTTTTGTTAAAATGCAAAAGTGGCTTTATAAGCAAAATTATGAGTTATAGGTGATTTGTTCAAAATATTGCTATTTTTTTCGATTTTACATTACACCTGATCTTACGATCTGATTGGTCAATCAGGTGGGTGTATTACAACACATATGCATTAAATTATAAAACCCATATATTAATTTCTATATAAATAATATTTGCAATTCTATTTTTTCTACTAAAAAAATAGCTATTTTGAGGAATAAAAGTATCTTAAAAGTATATATAACAAACAAATTAAAAAAAAGTAAAATGTTTAAGAAAAATTAAATATTATTACTTATCTTAAAAACTATATAAACAAATTAAGCATTAAAGAAGTATCTAAAAATTTTATATCAAATCTAATCAATTATATAATTAGATTTGTAAAAAGAAATATTAATTAAAGCTTTATTTAAAATTTTTAAACTATATAACAAACATTTGCTTCACTATTTACAAATTAAAAAAACTTTATATCACTGATAATATCAATTATAAATTCTGTTATCTAAGAATTGATATTGCAAAGGCAACCTTATTTACTCAAGATACAGTATTTCAAAATCTTCTGAATATTAAATTATTCAAAATTTTAAATAATTAGCTTAATAGTTTTTAGAACATTATAATCTATTAATTTGTTATTAAACTATTATTTTATAGCAATTACTAGAAGATTTAAAGAAAAAACTAAGTTTTTTTAATTATATTTTAAATTCTTATATTTAATATAATTATTTTTTGTTTCTTATTAGTAACATAAATGAAATATTTTTTATATTTGATTTACCAAATCTC